TAAAAAATAACATAGCTATCAGCAGAGAGATGTTCTTTTCAAAAGATTTAAGTCAAAACTGATTGGGTGACGCAAAAGCAATGTTATTTTCGCATTGTCAATCTAAAATGTCAATTGCAATTTCCAATGAATGTTCACCAGCTGCTGCAGAGGAAAAGCAAAATGACCTAGTTTTTATATCTGCCTCGTTGCTTCATAGAAATGGCGAGTTCAGGTGGACCAATGCAGGAGTCTACCTCGTGCTCAATTGTATAATCCGAGTCGTAATCAGTTGCATCCGATATTTGGCGACGTTCAATTGTGTAGTTGTTATGGCGATCGTTGTAATGGTTCGTCGAATGCGTTGAGTAATCAATCGACAATTAATTTCTTATTGATTTGTATTTGTTTCGCTTTCTATTGTTCCATTCAAAGTGCTCACACTAATTTTAGGTTTTACATTCAAAGGTGATAATTATTTGTTTGTTCCTTACTCATATTCACTATATAATCATCCATGTGAGTTCGCCTAATAACACCTCATCATTTCAGTATTGTGTTGATGCGTTTTCTATTGAAGCAATCACAATTTTTTACTGATTCAAAATTTTTCGTTTGCATAGAAAATGAATGTGAGCAAACTTTGAATAATGAATTCAGCGAATAGCACATATGAAACTTTCAACATATGAAACAAACTTTCAAAACTTTCAACATATGAAAATCTCTTTCGAAATCATATTCGCCGAAACAATTCACCTCAGCACTCAACTTTTCACCTAACATCGACGAAAAAACTTTGATCTTATCGAACGATACTCACTGCTTTACCGAACGACATAATCTTTACCGATAATAAAGATGTCTTAGTTTTCACGAGTCTTTAACATACATCAATTTGTGCCACCTTGAAATCAGCTTAAATAAAGCAGTAAAATGAAGCCTATCGTGAATGTTCACTGCCTGCAGACAGTTTTAACACTCGAGGGAATAGCCAAGCGATCCAATGGCAACATGTGTTTTGCAGTTGAAAATTCGTTCAATTTTGCGCGTCATTCTCGCTTCTGATAAGTGTCAATCAACGGCGGCGATCATCGTCTGTGATCGTTCGCATTTTACACATAGTTTTACAGAGAATACGTTTTTGAGTTACAGATGTATATTTGAATATTATTGTTGATGATCCTCTTTGAATGTGTGATGATTTGAATGAGACTTCAAATGAAATCAATTATTGTTTCATTGTTTGTTTGTAAGCGATTGATCGATTCATGCGATCACAGCAATAATAACAACAATAAAATATCAGTTCAAGTCGATTATGTTTCAAGTTATCAACGGCCAGTCACACTCGCTGATCATAACTAATCAATTCTGACCAATCGACTAGAGGATTGATGAATATTGTATTTGTAAAATTGAGACAGAACACAGACACATAAATCTTATCATCAGCTAATCGTATTATCATATCAATTTATCACATTCACGTAGTCCACTCGAAAGACTTTGAAGAAACACGAAATAATGCTCATCTGTATCAAATACAAACATAAGTGCACTCATCAGAGTACCGCACTTTATGCTGATGTTAATCAATGGCCGAAGTTGGACACATTGAAATCTTTCATGGGGAATATTAGTTGAAAATAAGAAGTTAACAGGAATATGCTATCAACAGTGGGCAAGTGCATGGAAAGGAAACTGTCAAAATTTATCATCAT